TTAAAAATTTTAATTAAATTTAAAATTTAAAATTATCCGAGATAAAAAGTTTGAAAAAGAAAGAGATTTTTTTATGACACCACATTTAAAATACTACGAAAAAAAAAAGACAAAGATATATCCTTTTCTGATTCTCCCGTACTAAGGGACCTTTGTGTTAGGTAAGAAAAAGATATCCCTTCGTGTTAAATACGGTCTGGATTCAATTCCAACTGTCTTGATTCTAATGTATCGAGAAATTTCTTTGTTTTTTTTTCAAATGTCATTTAAGAGGCTTCAACTTTCATATCGAAAAATGCTCCCATTGCATCTACATTCTTCACCCAAATCCATTAATAAATGAGCAATCAAAGTCCTTACAGGTTTCAAGTCGAAAAATACTGTCATTGCTCGTGCATCGTTGTTTTAGAAAGAGATTTGCTCTGAAAAATACACTCAGACCATTTTTGGTTTCTATTTTCATTGGGAAAAAAAAAATGGAGAAGATTTGCTCTAAGAGCACACAGCTTCCCTCTAGATTTGTCTTTGGAGTATTATTTTATTTTTGTTGAACATGTCTTTGGAGTATTATTGATTATATCTAATTGAAATAATTTGGTCAAAGGCCACTATTTGGTTAATAATTTTTTAAGTTAAGGGTTCTTAAAAATAAAATTACTTATGAAAAATTTTAAATAATTATTTATATAATAAAAAAACATCACTTAATAATTTTAAATAAAATAATTAATTAATATGAAAATACGTCATGTTTAAAATTTTATAGGCGTAACGCCGTAGGCGTATGGTAATTTTTTAACTACTCCATATCATTCTCGGTTTGAAAAATGAAAATGCCTCTTCATAAACCACAGCAGAATGACGCGTCAGATAATTATTTAGAAATTCATGTTGCCGATTCCACACGAAACGAACACGTCAGAATGTGTAATAAAAATTTATTTACTGTAGAATTAATATATTATCAATAATATTATAATTATAATATCATATATAATTATGATATAATATTAAAAAATATATAAAATATTAAGAATATATTTTAAAATAAAAAATTAAT